AAAGCACTTAAACACTTTATTGCAAACTACAATTCCACATTTCAAAAGGGTACCAGGATAACTGCACCACATGCAGCTCCACAGTAAAAGCTGCTTTAAGGAAAATGACCTTGCTAGAGTTTCTAATAAGCCAGCCATTTTCTCTTGCACCTTAAAATCTTACTCTTGCAAAAAGAAATGGAACAAATCTATTTTGAATCTGAAAAGGTTTTTTGCTAAGCACAGTGATAATATATAAACTCAATATATGATTCCAGCTGTGCCAAGAAACAGCAGTGTCTCACAATTTGCAGCATATTTTTCATCATTCACTTATTTTAAAAATACAAGTCATTTACTTGTCTTTCTGAGGATTAATTTGCTTCAATTTCTGACTTAAAAATGGCAGGGTTAAAACTATGACTGTTACTTGAATGTGACTCTCACTAGAGAGCAAGCTGAAAAGTGAAGTCTAAATTTCCTAGTGTTCTGCTATTTGATATTAAGTAAAAAAAAGACTCTATATACAAAAGCCTCCGTAAATGTGTCCTGAGCTGCATTTCAAAACTATCTCAGAATCTAAAAACAACCCAATCATTTCTCAACTAAGACTAAGATTTTCCTTCTCACTAGCAAAGATGACAAAACCTATATAAAGTTAAAGAAAACACCAATTCCAGACAAAAATCAAAGAAATCTTAAAGACAGGCTGATTCTGAAACCAGTTGTGAAAATTCTATTACCTGGCATTCTAAGAGATGAGAAAAAAAGATCTGACTCTCTGTTATTGGAAGTACCATGACAACCAAATGAACATATTCAAAAGCTACCTAAACAAAATTCACTTGATTAAAAATTTGTTTAAGGAACAGTAATGTACTCTTCAGTTATGTCAGTGATTTGGGAAAAAAAAAGAATAAACAGGATGTTTTATTACCCTCTGCTACCTCCATTTCTTCGGTATCCTCTTCTTCATCCTGCGTAACATTTAGAACTGCAAAGATAGAGTGTCTAATGTCAAGCAGGTAATAATAAATACTTTGGAATTTTAAAAGAATAAATAATATACACCTTGTGTGACACTGCCACTATACTGATTCCAGGATCAGTGTCTTACCTGGCTTTTCCATGGTTTGAGGAATAATGCCACCTTTGTCTTTGATGGGCAGCAGATGAATGAGTTCTTTTTCCGGCTCGGTCTGCATGCGTCTCGGCATCTTCTCATATTTGTCAATCACACTCTCATTTTTTCGCTTCTTGATGTGCACGGGTTCACTGAGCAATACAAGGCAAATTAAATCAATTAACCATCTAACTAGACATGTACCACGTGCGACAATGTATTAGCTGGATTATGCTTCCACAGTTGAAAAGACAAATAACGGACAATCTTATTATGTGGAATATTTCAAAGATGACCATGACAGAACCAGTCACCAGTCTCTCAATCAGTGTTTATGTGGTTCCACACAGAATATTTTAAATAACGACAAAAAACTACTTTTGATCTCCTTTTTAAAGGAAATGTAAATGTGATATGAGCAAAGAAAAATGAGAACTTAATCTTGCAGGTCAAGCTATTTAGTGAATTTATAAAAGATTGTAAATGAGTGTAAACTCGCAACCAAATGGCTTACATTGATTTAGTTAAATGAGTTTATAGAAAAATCTGAGTAAAAGGTGTAACCACTTGCACTGCAGACACATTCCTGAAATGTATTATTTTTGTTGTTAATAACCCCAAAACCAGGAATGCAAAATTTTACTGTGGAAGTGAGCCTTGGGATCACATGCTCTCCCCCTCCTCTGTCATATTACTGCTTTTGATATTGCAAGAGGCAGAGTTTTAAGTCAGCACATTTGAAGACCTCTGGAAACCCTGTGCTGAGCAACTGCTTGGCTTCAGAAAGGAAAATCATACGTATGTGAATCAACTTTGTATCACAGTGAGTCTATCCAGCACACACGACAACTGCCTTGGGCGTGCACTGTAAGGGCAGCTTTGCAGCTCCTGTGCAGATTAAACATTCAGACGGGCCCAAACGCTGAGCAGTGAGCACAAGACCTCTGCACACCTGTGACTGATCTACTATCACTGAAAAAATACACCTGCTGGGCAAACACTGGAAATTCTGTGTTAAAAGGACACCTGGAAAGCCCAGTGCTAGCTGATTTTGAGATGGCTCTCAAATGTAACAGCAAGGGACCAAGGGGCTCTTCAAAGTAAGGCAACAGTGAGCAGATCAGATGAATCCAGGTAATGGCCAATGCCCTTAGAAAATATTATTTCAGGCCCAAATATTAAAAAATGAAAAAAGTAAGTAAAATATAGCCAGGCAACATGACAATCAAAAAGATCTCATCAGAGCCTTAGCAGTTTCCCTAGAAACTAGTTTATGTTATTAGTAACTATAATCACCATTAATAAATTAATTTGCCACAGATTAGGAAAAAAATAGAAAATACACTCCCTCTCTTTTCTCAAAACTAGTGAACAATGAGTTTTACACATTTCAATGTTCAGTTTGAAAAAAAAAAAACGCTCCAAGGAAAACTGAAATTTACAGAGTCAATTTAAAGCACTTTAGAAAGGTCTAGGTATCCAGAATCTGCTCCCACTCACCATGAAAGGCACGTTAGCAATTTTAAAACATGTTACATATTAATCACACAAAGCTGAATTGTTATAAAAACTAGAGATTACAAAAACACTTACTTAGAAGAAAGATCTCTAGTTATAAATGATGCTTTTTGAGCTAGATCTTGCATTAATTTCAAGTCATCTTCATCCATCATGTCCAGTGGAAGAGCATCTTCCTCCTCCTCTTTCTCTTGCTTTTCAACTTTTAGAAGACAACATACACAGATTACTATCCTGTATGTATATTTACAGCCAAAAACCTACTCTAACTATATCTGTCGGGTCATTTTAGACTTTGTTTCAACCCTGATCTCATCAATCTTCACACATGTTGGGCCAAAAAAAAATTATCCCAGAAAACTACCCTGTTATTGACACATACAATGCTGATTATAGTGAACATGGTTTCGCTACCTCTCTCTCTCAGACTTTGTTGCAAGAATGGCTGTTTTGTGTTTTTCGTAACTTTGTTTCTTTAACAAGTAAAACAATTATTTGTGTACCCTACATAATTTTTTAAACAATTTTACAACATAACATAGCAGGATAATAGTAACCCTCATATCTTTGTCTTCACCTACAAATAAAAAGTCCGAGAGATAGATAAATTAACTGCTCATAACAAGCAACCACTTACCAACTGTTTTCTTCTTGTATTCCTCCAGTGGGAAGGGTTTTCTACAGACAGCATCTCTGACAGCCTGCCTTAGCTTCTTTTGCTCTTTCCGATACTTCTTAGCAGCGCTCTGCTGCTTATATTGTTTATTCTTTAGTTTGTTGTCAAGTTTTATCTTACTAGTTCTCAATAACTTACGAAAGCTTGGAACTCGTTTTGTATTTTTTCTCTAGGAAACAAACAGAAAAAAGTACACGTAACTTATATAAGCATAAGTAACAACTCTTTTATTATTAAGCACAATATTCATATGCTTTTAGACACAGAAAAAATAGTCAGAGTGTGTTAAATAAATAGCCAGGGTACAGCTCAGGCACTCCATCTCCTTCCTCCATGATGGTGTCGCTGCTGTGCCGCATGCAGCGAGGTCAGCAACGCCGGTACACCTCTGCAGCCTCAGGAAAACGTCCCAGTGCAGCTCACTCTAACGGGCTTAGCTGTGTGTGCTCCCGCCCCAAACACTCCAGGACAGGCCTGATGCAGGGAAGAGTCCAGGCCACCCTCAGCACCTCTGCACGATGTGGGAGCTGTGAAGGGACTCATGGAGCCGCAGCAGACAGGATAGTAGAGGAGGTAAGGAGAAATCCCAGAGGCACAGAGGAGCACGGGCACACTGGACCACAAAAGGCAGAATGCTGCAGGGAGTACTCAGGATCCTGGAAATAGGCAGTTTACATAATGGGGGAGCATAGGAAGGTACAGAACCAGGGGAAAATAATTTGACCGTAATTTGGCTGTATTGATGAGGGAAGATGCGTCTTCTTAATCAGGTAATGAGTGACCAGGGCTCCCAGGTAGGGAATTTCTGTCAGTTCACCTTTAGCTCACCCGTTCAGATTTGGCTGTTGGGAAAGAGCTGAAGAGACAGAAACAAACCCCAGATATCACCAGTCTGCTCCAGGCCTGAACCTGAAGTTACGAGTTGTTACTGTTATTGCCATCTCCTTGCTAACAAGAGCTCAGATAAAATGCTCGTGTTCAGGCCCTGCAATCCCAAATACTGGCGACTCCAGCATTTATCTGCTTCTAAGGTCAAGTTAAAGTTAATTTAAGGTTCCTGAAAAGAATGATATATGGATAAAACTCCAAAAGAGTCTATCTCATGTTTCTGAAAAACAATTAAAAATATCCATTGGTCAAACACTCCACAGGGCTTTCCAAAGCTGATCCTTGTCACCATCCACATAAAACTAAAAGCCACGACAGCTCTAGCCAGCAGTACCGGCTCCCTGACAGTCCTTTCACACCAGGCTTTTCCTCTCAGTATCCACTGAGGCCCCTGCCTCACGCTCGTTGCTCTAACGAGTGACATGACTGGTACCTGCCCTACCTTGCCCCCTGCCCTGCATCCCTAACAGCTCCCTCGCGTCCCGCAGCCCAACGCCACAGCGCACGCGTTCGCCCGGAGCGACACGGGGCCCGCAAGGAGCGGCCCCTGCCTAGGCGCCCGCCCGGCGCCACGTCCGCCCAGGCCATGTGCGCCCCAAGCCGCCCACGGAGCTGCAGCGGGCCCGAGGCCCTCCTCCACGCCGTCCCGCCCAAACTCGGATGGGCCCC